TTACAGGGTGGATAGAAGAGAGACTTGGGTCTCTCACTAGGAGCTGACAATACAGGATAGACAACATTGAGACTTGGGTCCCTCACGAGGAGCTGCCCTTACAGGGTGGACAGACGTGATACTTGGGTCCCTCACGAGGAGCTGACAATACAGGGTGGACAGACGTGAGACTTTGGTCTCTCAAGAGGAACTGACAATACATGGTTGACAGACGTGAGATTTGGGTCTCTCACGAGGAGCTGACATTACAGGGTGGACAGACGTGAGACTTGGGTCTCTCACGAGGAACTGACAATACAGGGTTGACAGAGGAGAGACTTGGGTCTCTCACGAGGAGCTGCTGTTACAGGGTTGACAGACGTGAGACTTGGGTCCCTCACGAGGAGCTGCCATTACAGGGTGGACAGACGTGAGACTTGGGTTCCTCACGAAGAGCTACAGTTACAGGGTGGACAGACGTGAGACTTGGGTCTCTCACTAGGAGCTGCCATTACAGGGTGGACAGACGTGAGACTTGGGTCTCTCACTAGGAGCTGCCATTACAGGGTGGCCAGTGCGAGACTTGGGGTCCTCACTAGGAGCTGACAATACAGGATAGACAGACGTGAGACTTGGGTCCCTCACGAGGAGCTGCCATTACAGGGTGGACAGACGTGAGACTTGGGTCCCTCACGAGGAGCTGCCATTACAGGGTGGACAGACGTGAGACTTTGGTCCCCCACGAGGAGCTGCCATTACAGGGTGGACAGACGTGAGACTTGGGTCCCTCACGAGGAGCTGACATTACAGGGTGGACATACGTGAGACTTGGGTCCCTCACGAGGAGCTGACATTACAGGATGACGGACAGGCCTACAGTCAAATGTACATGTTTACGGCGGCTCCTTTCCTCAGGACAACATGATCTCCACACTAAAATCAAACCGGGTTTCCCTAATTGGCTTGGCATTTTATAGTTGTTCGTTTCACTACCAGAAGTCTGTTGACGAATTCTTTATGGTCTAGACTATAAATGAGGCCCCGAACGGAAAACGCAACATTAACGTTTATTCAATTGATAATTCTTTCGAATTCAATATTTGTTTTGTTTTTGAAAGTAATCATACTTATATTAACCAGAAGACTAGATGAGATATGTGCAAACTTATTTTAGAATTGTAGCATTTTTACTTGTGAAGAACCTATATCAAACCCCTCTGTAAAAAACACATAAAGGGATACGGTTACCAAGGACCTCCGTGGTCGCGCTACACGTGTTCGTACCACACTATTCCGTGCGCTCTCAAATACGCGTGCATATCAATTCGATGAAAAATCACAAGAGTGTTTTAATTAAAGTTAAGATGGATTTTCCATTGCTAAAGTAAACTTGATACATAAGTTGAGAAAGTATGCTAAAATCTTCGAATGATTAATGTTGATTTTTTTTCTTCAAAAAACTAAACCTTTGTTAAAATGTTATGATAATGCATTAGTATTTAAATACAGTGAAAACTATGAAATATTGCTTAATGAGAGGACACGGAGAGGATAATGGTATAATAGTTATACAGAACAAAACAGGGTTCTACTGGATGAATCTAACGTACTTATCATATATTTTTTTATATATTCCTCCCTGAACCATTGTTTGCAAGCTACTCACACATCACATGTGAATATCTTTTTAGCAGTTTGACAGGACCCATCATGTTTGATACAAAAAACATTTTTACCTTTCTGGTGTATTTGTTGTAACTGTCTTAATGAACGGTCATTTCAAGTGTGAACAACATGGTAAATTAATGAGACATTTTTTACAATGTTGTTCCTTAGCCTTCGTGACATGGTGTTTGGATTTCTTACATGTTTAATACTACCGTTAATCACCAGAACTAAAACGTTCTTTTGAGAATTAATATAAGATATATGTTATTTACATTTTACAAAACAGGAGCATTAACACAAAAGGACAGCACCCAACTACAAAGTTATCGCACAACTGTTCATCTGGTCGTATGGCGAACGTAACGTTTTCTTTGTGAAACTAGCGATTTTTATTTAATATCTACTGTTTCTGTCTCTCCTGCCTTCCGGTGTCTCACCTGTTATTTTCTTATCTGTTTAATTTATAAAATGGTTTCTAATATCATCGACTGGAATTTGGTTTGTTTTCCTCATTGAACTAATAGTTTAACGTCCCAGTATGTCACATATCGGCGTTGTGTTTAACGTTAAAGGGCTTCTTTGCGACGCTAAAAGGTCAAATGTAAGATTGTTATAGAAGAAGTACAATAGAAGTTGAATTAATTTGTATATCGTTCCGATGTTTTAGATTCTAATCAGTACCAAATGTTAATGGTATATACATTACACATATAATAACAATGTAGTGAACATAACTTAAGTCTTGATTGTCATCTGATGGAAAACATCGTATATACCTTGTCTACTATTAAACAATACATTTGTCTATTCCGTATAAAATTTACGACAAAGTATAAATACCTTTTGTCTAGCATTATAATAAAATGTATGATTACGCAAGTCTGAAGCCTCCATATACACAATGTAATTCCAAATGTACTACAATGATGCTATGTCAATATTATATAAGATTGTTTACCAATGATACAATCTTATCGAATTACAACAGGCAATGAAGAAAAAGACATTACGACCAAATTAGGATATGCGAATAAATTAAATCACAATATAATCGCCTAAGTTCTTATTCAATTGTAAATAATTTGTTTATACATTTAATTTTATATCTGTTTTTCATGAATGTAAAAACAAAAAACTTCCTTACAAAGAAACTTTACATCAAGACGCTTTTTTTTTTAGTAAATTTGTGTGTGACCTATCCGAGTGAAAATAGTCTTCATTACGCGAGATGTGACTATCTCCTCCTCTTTATGGGCGGTAACAAGTGGGCGTGGCAAAGGTTGTCAGGTTCTTGTCAATAACTTACTTGATAGGCAGTCACATGTGTTGCCTTGGTGATGATGCAAACGCGTGGATAGCATAGCAAAATCTGTTGAAACTTAGATAGCTATTTACCCAGTACCTCTAAAGAAAACAATGCTTGTTGGTTTGTGTTTCGGACAAACTCTGGGATAAATCTACTTGTGTTTCTAAGGAAAAGCCATGAGTTGTACTGATCTTATGTATCAGTTTTATCCGCCGTATTTCTCTCATAAAACGACACCTTCAGAAAACGGGGTGAGTGGTATTCCTTACTTTCACACTTCTATATTTCTGTTAGAAAAAAACCTACAGGAAAGCCTCAAGGAATTGTTGAAATGTAATTAACAAAATATTTGTAAAGAAATAATCTATATATAGTTAACATTCTTTACCTTACCGAAAGACATTGCTGAAGAGGCTAAGATGCTTTCGCTCCCAAGATACACGTTACAGAATAACACAAAACAATTTTTAAGGTGATAAAAACCGGAAACATCAACTGTTTTCCAATCGTAATCCGAGTTGAGGTACTATATATACTGGACACACCGGGTCGAATATCTCCGACTTAACACGGATTGTACTGCCATTCAGAAGTGTGAAAGATACGCTCAATTCATATCAAGATATCTTGGTAAATTCTAATTGCAATAATTGTGACTTTGTACGATTTTTGTGTTTGGTTGATCAAATACATATGTTGATAAATATGTTTAAATTTGTTTTCCGTCAACATATTGGAAATATAATTGGTTTTTACTTCGGTATCAGTCTCTCAAACATTATATATAACTATATACGAATCTTTAACGAGGTTCGATTCCATTGACCCTAGTAGAGTATACTAGTTTTTATTGTGTGTCCTTCGCTATCAAGGTATAAATTATATTTTTTCATTTCTTCTTTCTTTTTGGCCAGAAACTTACCAATCCAGTTCCGTACGAAAGTCAACACGTGACAGCGCCAGGAAGTTACTGCTGTCCTGGAGATGTGAGACACACTAAAATCAGGGATACGGATCCAACATCGGATATACCAGATCCGGAATCTCAGCCGAAAGGGTCCCAATATTTCAATGCTAATTGTGTTTTGTTGACTTACTTTAATGGTGATACAGCTACAAATGTTGATGAACATTTCTCGAGAGCACTCAGCCAGCCGAGCAGTTTTACATTGGAAAAAAACGGATCTCAGAATCTCCGACGCTCCGGTAGGTGTCTTGGGAAATCACGTTACACATGTTTTTAAAGAATTATTCAGACATTCACAAGTACATCTAAACATGTATAAATACTAGCAAAATCAAGACAGTCACATCCCTGATTGGACTGTAGTTCTTAAGGCCAAGTTCTACTGATATACGTACATGTATATCTTCACAGCATATTACCCTACCCGATAATGATAATAATATATACAGCATGGTTTTACTAAATACTGATAGTTATGTGTACGAATTGGTTATAGCATATACGCAGCAAATATGATTGCACATACACATATGCTTATAAATATGTTTCAATATATTTTGAAATAATATTTATATATAATATATATAGATTTTATAAGTATTGAGATATCAAACTTATCTGTATGATGGTTGCTGATGTCTTTCCTTCTTTTTAAATGCCCTCCTTTTTCTTGTTGATGTCTTTCCTCCCATTTGAATTTCCTTCTCGTTCCTTTTGTTGTCGCTCCTTTCTTTTTCCTTCTTTCATTTTACTTGTTCATGTTGGATGCTATTATTTTATTTAATATGGACTACACTTTTGGCGTTTTGGAACCAACATTGTATAGTTCAAATCTACATAATAAACAGTCAAACTTTGAGATTTATAATATAAATATTTACAAAGCGAGGTGTTCGTGCTCTGGCGAGTTTGTGGTAGTATTTCTAGTCATTGGCTCGTTGTCCAGGATGACAAAGGTGTAAGCCTGTTATTAAAACGTCTTTACTGAAGAAATTATAATGTTGTATAGAATTTAAAATAAATGAAATATTTAATATGATTCTGATCTATAAAAAGTATCTCTAAATAATAACGAAGCAGCTTATAAAAATCAGTACAAATTATTCCATAATCAATTTTTTTCACACCATACGAAACATATTTAAAAAGCAACGCTTGTGTGTAATATTTTGTAAAGAATAATATAAAAGTCTCATTCATGTTATTTACAAATATTTTTGAGTGGTTTAATCTAAAATCTTGTTCCAAGCATATATCAATTTGGTGTCATTTCACGAAGAGCTATGCGATACATTTGTACGGATTAGAAAGTTGTTGAAGAGTGTCACGTGACCTGTGGAGTAATATGCTGGGTAATTTGTTCCGACACTGATAAATCGGCGCGGGAGTAAGATAAACAGTTGTACCGCGATTTGTCAAAATTGGAAGGAGCCTTATTGCTGCCCGGTGTTGATTTAGTCCGTGTCAGGGCGAGACTCCCATAACCATATTTTAACAGCTGCTTGTTTGTGAAATAATTAGCACTTTATTGCTCCAGATAAGGCGCACTATATTATCTTCAGTTAATTGCTTAGCCACTCAGAAGCCTGCAATGACAATATCATTTAAAATTGATCGCTTTTTTTTTTATCAAAAGAAGATAATAATATCTAAAATCCAACTTTTATGCATATTGTATATTATCCATATCATCCATAGTTGTTGCTAAATGAACTAACAACAGCTACGATACAATTTTTGACAGTATATTTATTGTTATAAAACCGATAATATTTCTAAGGTTAAGAGACGATTGATAATATCTGTTTTATCGTTAGCGATGACGCTGTGTAGATATGCGACTTTTTTATTTATCCAACTTACTGACAAAATCGAAAATTCTTAAAACATTAACAATTTTACTGACAATTTCATACATATATTTGTATTTATCTCACTGACAACTTTTTGTTAATGTTTGAAGTTATCTTACTTACAACTTTTTGTCTAAGTTGGTATTTATTTTACTAATAGCTTTTTGTTTATGTTTAAATTTAGCTTACTGACAACGTTTTGTTTATATGTGTATTCCTTCCACAACTTCTGTATGTTTTCTCACCCCCGAACCATGGGATAAACCTGCTAGGTGATGGTAAACATTTTTGGTAACCCACTAGATGGTAACTCATTGGAGTTTATTTCACTGGCCAATCCTATAATTTTGACGTCAAGAATCATTGCTTTGCGACATCAGCTGCCAGTGTGACGTCATAATTCATGGCAATTGTTCCCGATCTGAAACAGGAATAATGTATACCCAAGAGAAACACAAGGTTTCAAGACGTATTATTTGAATGATGTGGGAGAAAAAATCCTCGAAATTGGGATGGTTGGTCATCATGTTATTTAACTCTTGTAAGTTAATTTTCAAATTGAAAAAAACAAACCACTCGGAAAACCTCGTGTCTTTATACAATTTGGAAATAAATAAACTCGAGTTGGATACTCAAAATAACCAATCATCACTAGTTGGGGAGTCTTTACTAACAATTTCACGTATATGTTTGTATTTATCTTCACTGACAATTTCGCGTAAATATTATTCATTCATCCTTCCTTACAATTTTCGTATATGTTCGCATTTGTCTTTGCTGACAATTTCGCTCAAATATTTGTTTTTATCTTTACCGATGATTTCAAGTATATATTTGTATTTAGTTTTACTGACAACTTAACGTATATGTTTGTATTTATCTTCACTGACAATTTCTCGTAAATATTATTCATTCATCTTTACTTACAATTTGCGTATATGTTTGCATTTGTCTTTGCCGACAATTTCACTCAAATATTTGTATTTATCTTTACCGATGATTTCAAGTTTTTATTTGTATTTATTTTTACTGACAATTTTACGTATATGTTTGTATTGATCTTCACTGACAACTTCACGTAAATATTATTCATTCATCTTTACTTACAATTTTCGTTTATGTTTGCATTTGTCTTTGCTGACAATTTCACTCAAATATTTGTATTTATCTTTACCGATGATTTCAAGTATATATATATTTTTTTATCTTACCTAACAATTTCATTTATATATTTATATTTATCTTTACTGACGATTTAACGTATACATTTATATCTATCTTTACTGACAATTTAACGTATATGTTTGTATTAGGTTTTACTGACAAAGATATGTATATATGTATTGGTATTTTATCGACAACTGTATACATTGTATGTATTTGTCTGGCTAATACGTATTTAAATGTTTATATTACAATTTATAAAGATTTCTCCAGTTACACGTCCTTGATAAATAAATTATGTATCGTTATATTTTTACTACTGACATTCAAATTTGTACATGATTTTATTGTCTTACTGATATCATTAATTGATATATTTATTTCTATTTATCCTAACGAAAACAAGACAAAAGAGCAAGAACAATATACACGGATATAGAAAAACATATTAAATGTTTATTAAAATGCACAAAGAGTTATGATAATCATTTAGTAAACGATTAGTTTTCCAAAGAAAGGTTTACATCGACGAATCAGCACACAGATGTTTCGTATATAAGATTTAAATCATTACGGCATTGTCGGATCTATCTTGCGATGGCATTATCGGGTGGCTTCTAGTGTCCCAGTGATCTAAGAGCACGGTTACCGGGTAGCATGTGTCGTCTGATTTATCTGAGGAGTAATTACTGGGTGGGATCTGTTGTAGAACATTTACCTAGGAATAGGGTTACCGAATGGAATCTCGTGTTGTCTGATATACATAGGGGTTGGGTTACCGGATGGAATCTCGTGTTGTCTGATATACATAGGGGTTGGGTTACCGGTTGGCCTTTTTTGTTCGATATGTACAGGAATAGGTTTACCAAGTGTGCAATTAGTGTTGTCCGATAGGTTAGGAACGGTGTTACTGGTTGATGTATTGTGTTTCGAGAATCACATCTAAATCAGGAAACCTTTTTAATATATAGATAAAATTAATCAATTTTTTGAGTTTGACAAACTATACAAAAAGATTTTTCTGTGGTACATTTGGTTAAATGAAAACTTAGACATAACGTTTTCTGTTGGATTTATTTAACTGTAAATATAACAGTTGTTTGTCTCTGTTTTTAGATACTCCCCTAATGTGTCAACGCAAACTACCTCCTTCCTTCTGGAACAGTGCCTACCAACCTCCTAGACCATCATTCGCTTCCGGAAGTAGTGCGGACTATCCGAGGGACTATTTGACGTCGCCGTGGTATACACTGTCCAATAACTGGCCATATCATTTCGCCGCATCTCAATCGTACTCTAACGCACCTGACTTTGCCCGATCCTTTCCATATTCATCCTTTGACTCAGCCAGTAAACTTGGTCCATCTTATCAATCATTAATGTTAAGGAGTGGATTTGACTCGAGAAATTCAAAATATGAAATGTCCAAACTATCAGACTCTTTACAAGGAGCTGGAAGTTATTATGCATCATTACAAAGATTTGGTGCGGATTTATCTTCAAATGTGAACTACGATTCGTCAACGACATCATGTAAGTACAGCGCATCAGTGCATAAATAAGTATTTTATATTTAGTAATTTTGTTATAATGACGTAGATGGGCAGAACTCTGATACTGAAGAAAACTTTATTATGTAGAAAAAAGAACCTATAATGCATAGAGCATCCAAAGTGTCTGCTTCAGATTTATGTTGTCGTGGTGATCAGAACACCGTATTTAACCTTGTGTCCGTGTGGGGATCAGAACACCGTATTTAACCTTGTGTCCGTGCGGGGATCAGAACACCGTATTGAACCTTGTGTCCGTGCGGGGATCAGAACACCGTATTGAACCTTGTGTCCGTGCGGGGATCAGAACACCGTATTTAACCTTGTGTCCGTGGGGGGATCAGAACACCGTATTTAACCTTGTGTCCGTGGGGGGATCAGAACACCGTATTTAACCCTGTGTCCGTGTAGGGATCAGAACACCGTATTTAACCCTGTGTCCGTGTAGGGATCAGAACACCGTATTTAACCCTGTGTCCGTGTAGGGATCAGAACACCGTATTTAACCTTGTGTCCGTGTGCGGATAAGAACACCGTATTTAACCCTGTGTCCGTGCGGGGATAAGAACACCGTATTGAACCTTGTGTCCGTGCGGGGATCAGAACACCGTATTTAACCCTGTGTCCGTGTGGGGATCAGAACACCGTATTTAACCCTGTGTCCGTGTAGGGATCAGAACACCGTATTTAACCCTGTGTCCGTGTAGGGATCAGAACACCGTATTTAACCTTGTGTCCGTGTGGGGATCAAAACACCGTATTTAACCTTGTGTCCGTGTGGGGATCAAAACCCCGTATTTAACCTTGTGTCCGTGTGGGGATCAGAACACCGTCTTTAACCTCGTGTCCGTGTGGGGATCAGAACACCGTCTTTAACCTTGTGTCCGTGTGGGGATCAGAACACCGTCTTTATCCTTGTGTCCGTGTGGGGATCAGAACACCGTATTTAACCTTGTGTCCGTGCGGGGATCAGAACACCGTATTGAACCTTGTGTCCGTGCGGGGATCAGAACATCGTATTTAACCTTGTGTTTTATTGGTTTCTTGCTGACAGTCGTTTTGCTGTCTCCTCACTCCGATTTGTGTTAACGATACGAATTTTCAGAGTTCGTAATAAGCTAGAACGGATATATGTTGATATGGTTAGTATTAATATTTAGACAAGTTACTCTACAATAAATAGAGAAAAACCTTATAAATCTATGTATTACTAAATCTAATACTTGTCGGGGATTGATAGAAGGGTTAACGAATGTGTCAGAGTGTAGTCAAAGAATCACCCTCGTATATCAATTCAATTTCCTGAACATGACCGATTCTAAAGGATTTGAGAAATTAACAATATTTGCCGAAGGATAGGACAATAAGTGATTGTTTTCTTATAAACAATTGTATAATTGCATTATACAAAACTAATAAACCTAAGTTTATTTTGAGACTAGACTAGTCTACTTCAATACGATTCTCTGATATTATTTCAATTTACACAGTCTTTAATAAACACAACGTCAGCAAAACCATGGTATCTGATATACACACGATTGATATGTAAATAGATATCCAGCTTTCGAAGCGTACCGAAAATAAATTAATTTCAAAATTAAATGTATGTGTTATTTACATGGCCCTTACATGGCTGTGAAAGACCTGTCCATTTAAAAGGATCATACAAGTATTTTTTCACAAAATAGAAAAAAGGACGACGGTTTATGTAATTAAGCTTTTTTTGACTAGAAAAAGTTCCTTCGTGTTAAGAGATAGAGCTTGCCTTTATATATTGCCACCTTGAAGAATTGTTTTTTTATTCTCTGATGTTTTGTTAACACAGTTTATAGGTTGGACGTATAACTGAACAGCTCTACAACAGCTTAATCGAATATCTATAGCCAAAATAGAAAGCAACTGCAACGCAACACTGTCAAATATTAATGCGTCTTAACGTTCTTCTCCACTTTGTTTTATCAATGATTTATGAGAAACAATCAAATAATTTTATTCCAAACTACCGAAGCAGAAGATGCACCCGTTCCGTCTGATAAGGGGCCTCTCCGGTAGTCTGATACGCTCCCGATAAGATATGACAGTGGGATATTAATACCCAATGGCCTCGATGCTATTATCCTTGATTTGCCGAAACGAAAGTTGTTGAGCAGATTGGTGTCGGCATGATTTGTTGTTTTATAATCAGATACATGCTTGCCTTAGATTGGCTTGACGCACGTCTCCACATCACGATTTGTGTGCTGATATGTTAGTCCCTACCAGTAGGTGTGATGGAGGGATCAAGGATATGTTAGTCCCTACCAGTAGGTGTGATGGAGGGATCAAGGATATGTTAGTCCCTACCAGTAGGTGTAATGGAAGAATCAGTGATATGTTATCCCCGAGCAGTAGTTGTAATGGAGGGATCAGGGATATGTTAGTCCCTACCAGTAGTTGTAAGGGAAGGGGATCAGGGATATGTTAGTCCCTACCAGTAGTTGTAATGGAAGGGGATCAGGGATATGTTAGGCCGTACCAGTAGGTGTAATGCAGGGATCAGACAACTTAAAAGGGCAAATACTCCAGCGAAAGTGTGTCATATTTAGTTATACCTTCATACCTTTATCAATCGAATCTAACTAGCATGTAAATGCATTTGGATCCGTCTGATACATACATACCATACCGAACAATTGGTTAAAGGTTTGCTCGTTAATATTGTACATTTACCGTTAAAATATTCCAAAATAGCATCAGGCATACACATTCAGATGAGATTGGGTAATGGATTCATCAATGTGTCCACAACAAAACCATTCTACAATGATACCCAAATCTGTAATTCTATATCGCCTGAAATTAACTTTACGTGTTTTGTTTTATCAATCTGAATGTTGAACTGTCATAACAATTCTGTAAAATGTGACTCAACGCAACTTCAATTACGCTTACAATTTAGCAAATCGGTTAAGTTAAAATTAAAACAAATATGTACCACATCGTCGATAAACATAACTGTTGGATTTTGAGTGTTTTGAGTAGACTTTCAAATAATAATATAATTTCAAATAACATAAAACGTTTCGTATGCAATATTGTGAGAAGGGATATTTTCCAAAACATTGAAAGCCTTTTTTAGCCCTCTGTTGGTATCAATGAACCATTCACACAAACATAAAAACATATATTTCTTTTTGATTTATACTTCTTTTTTAATACTACTATAGTATTTGGTATGTAAATTGAAACCCAAACTATAAAAAATGTCAGAATATTTATGCAGATTTTAGTATTTACTAGAATGTACATCAGCGTTCTGTAGAAGTACTCCAGCGTGTACTTTACATATGTGTAATCTTCCAGTTTCCTTTAATCTAGCACTGACTATTTACATCACACAAGTGTCCACTACTACAGATAATACGACTAACATTCCACGGTTGTTGTGTGTTAATGATATCAATTTTGACCATACTGTATCAATTTCACTATGTATAATTAAGTGACCGATATTTACATGCTAATAATCAGTGGTTTGTTTGTTCCAGCGCTGGACTATCCGCTACAGAGTATGAGGAAGGATATTTGTTGGTAACGTTCAGAAACATCAAACCAAATGTTCTTCGTCATCATACGGCGGTGTCGACGTCAGACATATCATAGTTATGGTATGTCGCCCATACCGAAATATAATGATGACCACACCAGTAACAATTCAAAATGAGGATAGAAATGAATGATTACGTAAGATAGTAAAAACAAACGTCTTTTCACCCGCAAACAGGGAACCACCGACACAAAACTCATAATAATGGAGGTGTATGCTTGAGAACGATTAATATGACATAATAATGGAGGGTATGATTGAGAACGATTAATATGACTCAATTCGAACAAGCAATATATCACCATATAGGTTTCTAGAATAATTTATCTCTGGAGGATACACCATATACCGGATACATAGTTTTGTGAAGCTGTCTTCCTACAAACTTTACATGATTTACAATCAATGTTACTTCTGTTGATGCACGTTTAAAACTTGCTTTCAACTTTATTTCCTGTGTTAAATGTTATAAGAGGTATTTTTTCATCAACGCTGAAGGACAGAAGGACAGCGATAATAGAGAAAGATGTTTGACATTGTTTTCTGTATATAATAGTGAAGAAAGTATTGTCCGATTATTTTTGTCAATAAAATGTATGAAACTGTATAATGTTTTGTTGGATTTTACAAAATATGAAAGATGATAAATTTTCAAGAAGGACATCTAAAAACTTATTCAAGGTGTACGTTAATACGTTAAAAATGGTGTCAATGACGCCGAGCATATAATGGTATAATTATAAGTTATATAATTGGGATATCAATTAACTTCACGCTACCACAATTGGTACAGTTTTGACAGTTTTTTAGTGATCTTTAAAAATTCAGATCTTGTATCGGGAATGTTTCTTGATTCTTGACAAAGACTATCTAGGTGGTTCATTTTCAGGAAAAGTTTTGTATCGAAGTAATTTGTTTTTGAAAATAGAACGCTAAACTCGGAGTGAGATTTCGTGCGTTTTTCGGCCGTAAATAGTACCCAAATTTGTACACCATATCACAGGCTATGGAATTTGTTTTTATTTCTAGTTGATGTGCCGATTACAACAAAATATATTGCTATTATAGATATCATACTGAACTATAATTGTATATATTTACCTTTATATTATCCTAATATAAGGACCAGAAATCAACATTTAAACATGCTTATATTTAACCCCTTGAAAATCCTCCAATATTTCGTCGACTTACGTCGTTTTTACTGGTTTTCTGATATGTTTACTTTGAAGTCATCGTGCAATCTTAAAATGTTCCTGAAAACAAAACTATTCGGCAGAAATGCTGATAAATATCTCTTTTGTTATACTGTCAAAGAAAAATGCTCAAATTTAATTTTAAAGTAATATTCGAACAATTTTCTGACCGTGTACCAATTTGGATAGTGTACTAATTGTGGTAGCGTGACGTTAGCAAACTGTTGACAAGAAAATACGAAATCAAACCGAAAATTATATCCATGAGTCGCGAACATTAGTGTTTCAAATAATCGTGTCTATTCAAGAGTAGTAACAAGTATCGGAAGGGGTATACAGCTGTACACGTAGTGTGACGTTCCATCAAAGACAACATCTATAATATTATGAGAAGTTCTTTTTACACAACTAATACAATTTTCTATATGACGTTTCGATGACTAGTACGATATGTACACTGTCACCTTAATCAGACAAATGACCAGTGAAGCGTATGCACACAAAGGTGTAAAATGTGTACGAGTTGTCCATAAAATCGATGTCGTACAATAGTTGTTATATATGTACCGAAATGACTCAATGCCGCTACGCTTTGTTAACACTTGGTCACAGATGTGCGAGAGTGCTTCACTGGTCATTTGTCTGATGAAGGTGACAGTGTACATATCGTACTAGTCACCTAAACGTAACATAGAAAATTGTATTGGTTGTGTAAAAAGAACTTCTCATAATCCATACTTACCAACCCGAAGAAAATGTTTAGAAATAACATCTATAATAGTACATCATTCAGTAGTTTACAGGATTAAACGACGATATCAAACTTTCGATTTCGAACGTTAGTTTTTATAGAATGCTTCAGCTCTCCCAAGGAAGTAGCTTTTATAGAATGCTGCAGCTCTTCCAAGGAAGTAGATTTTATAGAATGCCTCAGCTCTCCCAAGGAAGTCGATTTTATAGAATGCCTTAGGTGNTTTCCCTAGAATGCCTCAGTTCTCCCAAGGAAGTAGTTTTTATAGAATGCCTCAGCTCTCCCAAGGAAGTAGTTTTTATAAAATGCCTCAGCTCTCCCAAGGAAGTAGTTTTTATAGAATGCCTCAGCTCTCCCAAGGAAGTAGTTTTTTCTAGAAAATCTCAGCTCTCCCAAGGAAGTAGTTTTTATAGAATGCCTCAGCTTTCCC